ACGGCCACCCAGAAGTAACCTTTTACCCGAATATGACACTTTTACTCGGAATTGCCCTTTCACCCGGCTACGACTTAATCGACTAGACCAGTGATGGGCAAACTACGGCCCGCGGGCCAGATGCGGCCCCCTGAAATGTTCTATCCGGCCCGTGCGACATTATTCCTAATCTGACGAGTAAAAAAGAATACAGGCTGTGGTGGTTGATGCACCACTTAACTTGAGTGTTCGTTGATTATATAAAATAACCGAAGCTTTATATCTCACCATGAAAGTTTATTTACAATCATGTAAAAAATTTTGTTTTACACTAATTGAGTAAAAGCTCGATCGGTTACAAGCATGCTTCGGTACAGAACATCCACTCGTCGTGCGTAGCGTAGCCGAAAGAGAGAAAAAGAAATATGGCGGACGGCCTGCACATGTTTTTATAGCGCCACCTGGATTTTCAGATGCAGAGCTAGGTTACAATTATATTGGCCCGCCTAAAGTTTCCTTCTTTTCCTTTGGCCCGCTCTTTAAAAAGTTTGCCCATCACTGGACTAGACTTTAATTTCCATCTCAAGTTACGGACGTATACTTCAACAACATTCGAGATTCGTTCTTCCGCTTCGTCTAAAGTGCATAGAACTACGACAGTGACGTCTACCGTGGAAAAGTGACAACGAAACATTAAACAGAGTTCTCGTGTTTAAACGACTATAACTGGCCAAGGCAACTAATAATAGGCATACGGACAAGGTATCCAGCGAGGGACAGCTTCCCCTCCGTAGAAGAAAAATTAAAGTGTAGTAATTGACACACAGACACACAGCACAGACGTATCAATTTAGTATCAGTTTGAGTAATGAATATTGTGAATAGACTAGAGCCGTCTGTCATGAAATCTCACTCTCCCTCCGCATTTCCTAATGAGTTGCCTCTCTCTAATTCAGATCCTGGGTACGCCTCTGCATACAGACTGTATTTCAACCGATGTTCTACATAGTAAGAAATTTTACTACAAAATAAAGGATATTAGTGACTAGAATGCACCACGTTGAACTTTAACCGAAAAACACACATTGCAGTCCAAAGCAGAATTATAATTACTTCAGCAGTTAAAATTGTACATGGAATTTTCACGATTGTATATAAATTTTTATACTTAATAAAACTTATTGAATTTCATATTAATTGTTTAAGTGTCTTTAATGCAAGTTTAAGTTATAAAAGTTTCCGGCATTTATAAGATTGTAAATGAGCGGCCGGATGGATTAGCGGTCAAGATAACAACCTACAGCTCTGGGAGACCCCGATCGGAGCTGGGGGGTCGAAAATTTCCCAGGAATTTTTCGGGAAAATATGTCGGTCCCGTCCCTTGCCCCATTGTGGGCCTGGCCGAACCCATAATGAGCTTCTTAAAAAAAGGCTTAGTGCCCACAGTGCGGGAAGAGTTTTAAGTTATGGCAACGCAACACTTGGACGATGTCTTCCGGAAAGTCTTCTTAAGTGAAACTGACCTCTATTTAGGCATTACAGACGTGGAGAAAACCCGGAAAACACCACGTGGCCAGCCCATCCGAGCGAGGCACGAATCCACGACCGAACTCCCAGTGTTTAGGGTACGAAGACCGCTTGGCCACTGATGGGCTCTTGAAAAGAGTTTAAAAAAAAACGATAAATGAGTGATATACAGTATAGCATTCGCGGTTTTTTTTGTATTGTTCAACATCAAACGAAATGTGTTAAATTTTTATTTTCATCTTTGTTATATTTTGGTTTATATCAGGCTAAATTCCATGAAGACGAAAATAATACTTTTATTACCGTAGACTAGGGTTACTTTGTGACAAGTAGGGTAACTTAGGACAATCACTGTTTTGAATGAATTTAAATTAAATGCCACTGCCATTTCAATGATATACAAACTGTTGTCATTGGTTTTAAGTTCTAATACTCCTACTGTGCTGCCACATAATGTCAAGGCCCAGAAGCTCTGTTTGTTTTCCTGCCTTTTAGGCAGCCATTTTTAGTTAAGTTACATTTTGTTTGATCAACACATGTTCCAGAAACTATTATTTGTTGAGAAAACTCTACAGTTTCTATTGAAAACAAAGATAAATATTTTGAAATAAATAACTATTATCTATTATAATCAAGTGTTTGATATTATTTTAAAATAATTATTTGGTTATAAAAAATATGTTATTGAAAAATCTAACATATAAGGGGAAACTTTGGGACTGTCGCGAAGTCACCCAGTGAGCTTTAAGGAAGAAGGATACATCAGATGAAGACACTTCAAGTGATGATCTGAACTTGGAAACGGTTCCTTATGCGGAGTCTGACGACAGTATGACGTGGGTACCTGAGGAAATGGAAAACGAGCATCCTTTCATTCTTCTACAATCAATCGATGATAGATTACAACACGAGTTAAAATATTTATCTGAGGGAACGTTTGTTTTAATAAATTATGAAGGTGTTCTTTCATCATCTGGACTGATATTAAAATAGAAAAAGATTGGATACTCAATAAGGGCTATGGAGAAAAGTGGTTGTATTTGGAAATGGCCAAATATGGACAACATCCTGGACTATACAGAAGACGTAGTGCAAGCCATCCAAAAAGATAAGTCGCCAGGATATTTATTGTGTTAAAAGAACTAGTAAATTATCTATCCTGAACATTATGTACAATTTGGTTTAATTTTTTTCACCGCTAATATGATTGATATGTATATAATATATATATATATATACATAGTAAGACCCCGCTTAATGCAGGGGACTATTTTTGATAAATAAAGATTGGTGACAGTTTAACGTTGCGACAATCCTACTTTTATACTGTTAAAAAAACACTTTGTCCTAAAGTTACCCCTACTTAAAGGGTAACTTTAGGACAAGAAAAAGGTGGGAGTATTTTTAAACTCTTGACCTGGGAGTGAAAATATTGGTGAATTTCAAGAAATCATCATCATATTTACCTAACACAATGCAAAACGGTTTGTAACAGTCATTTGATCAGAGGTGCAAAAAGTGCAAAAACCATACCATACCAAAGTAACCCCAGACTACGGTATATTAGCATAACTAGAAATTTCCCCGTCTTGTTCTTGTTTAGTTGACGTGGCCATATTCTGGTCACTGTCTCTGGTTTCTCGCTAGCCGGTCGCTGATTGGCTAATCCAAATGATTAGCCAATCAGCGATCGGCTTGCGAGAGACGAGAGACAGTGACCAGAATATGGCCCATGGAGACTTCGGTCTAGTTGGCTCTTCTCCGACTCGCAAATCCCCCCGTCAATCATGACGGAATACTTTTTATGATAAAAGTAGATATTTCAAGAAATTCATGAAGAGTTAATATTTCTATAAATTATTAAATTCACTTGTTTAAAGCAAATTTGTGTGAAGTTTGTTGCTTATTTGAAATAAGTTCATGGATTCTTTCTATGAAGGACGGTAATCGCGCTCACATTATTTATTGATAAGTCATTTCGTGTTTGATTTATATTAATAAAAAATCCCCCCCAATGAGTGAGAAAAAGCAAGCATTTTACATTTGTTTCGTAATACATGCACACAACGCACACTTTAATCGGCTAAAGCGTCTCACCTCATCAAGCTCCACGACACCAGCGCCTCTGTCGGTCAAGAGTAAAATGATGTTATATTTTACTTTCCTACTTGTTACGTATATAACACGGTCAAGTATTGAAATCCCGTGAAATATGACTCTCCGGATATTTCGTTTTGCAAATTTTGCCGTTTTGAAGCTCCCCGAACCCCAAAAACTAAATTTAGCATAACTTGTATATAGTGTTGATGTTATTATATTTTGGTGGTTAAAGCAGAGTCAATAGATATACTGGTCTTGAGGTAAGCTCTCTAGTTAATGCGTCAGGTTGTCGATAGCTTCCGTAGAATCGCACTACGGCGAGAAGTTGGTTTATCTATTTGGTTAGTAGGTAGTTTTGCCGTTTCCAAGCATTTTTGTAAATCGCTTGATGTTTAGTGATGTTATCTGACTTGTTTTTTAAACTCTGATGTTTTCCATAGTTCAACCGAAATTCACCAAACTGCGAAAATATGAAGCAATTGTCTGGCTTTATATTCCAAAAAACAGCACCCAAAAATTTTCAAAATATCTGTTTATTAAGCATCAAAGATTAATTAAGAGTACTTTAATCTTTGATGCTAAAGATTATATCTTATCCGAGATTAATTATATTTTCCGAACAATAATTTTTATTACACTTTTCTTTTTTATCTGTACTTTTCATATTTTTTTTAAAAATCAACAATAAATCACTTATAATCTTAGTAATTCGAACACAAATCATTTATGGTATTCATTCAGTCACTTGGCAAATCTCATCATTAAATTTTATTTAGTTGATACGTGTTCATCGTATTTGTACACGTTTCGGGAATTTTGTGCCCCTCCTCAGCCAACTTTAGATTACAGATCACTGAAAGTTAAAACCATAAAATTCCTTTGCACATTCAACTTCTTGTTATCCATTAAATTACAGATCTTTGTAAGGTTTCAACCTTTAAAATTGTTACACATTTAACTTCTTCGATTTTGATGTAAGACGAGTAATTGGATGATAAGAAGTTGAATGTGTAACGGAGTTTTATGGTTTTAACTTTCAGTGATCTGTAATCTAAAGTTGACTGAGGAGGGGCACAAAATGCCCGAAACATGTACAAATGCAATGAACACATATCAACTAAATAAAATGTAATGATGAGATTTGCCAAGTGATTGAATGAATAGGATAAATGATTTGTGTGTTCGAATTACTAAACAATTACTGGCACGGTTTCAAAAATACACTTATAATCTTTCATTTGTGACATATTACTGCTAAAACTGCTCGTCCAGGCTAACTATATTGAGAAACCCAAAAAATGATGTTTATTGATGTAATTTACTTAACTAGTAAGTATTCATTATAATAGATGTTCACTGTATTTTTTCAGCAATAAATAAATCAGACAAAGTAGTTTTCTGTTAAATTATGTATTTCCACAGAAATTCTAATACAAGTTATTGTTCTTTCATTTCTCTTAAACGTCTAACTGCACTCCTTACAGTTGCAGCTGCAGTTGTGCTATAAAAAGAAAAAAAAATTGAAACATTAAATTATTTTAATCTCAAAGAAACAATACGAATTTTCTATTAAAGAAACATACATTTATAGTTTGAATTTTGTTTAAAGCTCAAATAAAAAAAAAAGTACAGTAAGGGCTCACTTAACATTGGTTCTTGTAAACTTCAACTTTAATGATATCACAACAAAAGAGCAAGAATTATCAGAGTTACAAGTCACCATTCACATACTAAAAGTAAAAGGAATTGTTATTGGTTAACTTGAACTCTTAACTCCAATCCTTGATTGTAAATATGGCCATACACAAAACAACTTATAACAAAACCAATTTTATCATAACTTAATTGAAGTAAAACAAAATTACAGTTCCTATGGCAAATTTCTAGTCACAAAGCATCAAACTTCTGAATAAAGACCCAAAGCAATCCTAATATTAAATATTGAAATAAATGTGAGCTAAACACTTGTTTTTATTATTCTTTCTTAAATATAAGATAATTATTTATCCAATATTTTGTGAATAAGTAAGTGACTGTATAGTATGCAGAGGAAAGCTTCATTCTCATCATTGGTGATGGGTAAAAATAAGCAATAAAAAATTTTTACAAAGTGAAAATTGTAAGGAACACCCCCATCACCATACAGTTCAAAAACTATCAATTGGCAATTCTAAACCACATAGGGTGCTATATAAATTTAAAATGGCGAGGCAAACAAGGCAAATTTGTTTACAATTTACATTGACATTACTTGTTTTTAATGTGGATGCAGGTTCATGTTACTTGAAGAAGATAAAAGTATAGTGAATGCAAATTATATTAATCAGATTTCAAGAAACAAATTCAATTATTCTTTTTGATCATGTTTGCAAACTCCACTTAATTTCCATCTCATAGAATCAGTTTTACTATTTATAAAGAAAATACAATAATTGTAAAAGATTACAAATGTACTTTTAGTTTTCTCAACAAAACAAAAATGAAACAGTGTTAAGTAAACACTTACTGCAGTTTCCTGTACAGTTGATTTAAAAAGTGATTTGTGAATTTATTTTCTGAATGAAATGTAATGAACTCACATAATGCTTATGAATTGTAATAAATAATACCTGTAAACATATGCTCCACCAGCTACAGTCTTTTGACACGCTCTACATTTCCATATACCCACACATGTTCTTTTCATTGTTTCCTATTAACAGATATATATATATATATAAAAAT